GACTAGCCTGTTGATAAAATATCCAGTCAACCCAATTGTTGATGGGATTACCTGCTAATGGCCCTAAATGGTCCATGGGTGTTTTCTCAACAGCCAAGAAAGGAATGAGTCTTCCTATCATATTCTGAATGGAAGAAACCCATCAGAAGGTAGGGCAAATACAGCCCAAGGAAAGAAAGCATATCATAGAGAAGCCCTGTTGGCCATACATCAAAGTACAATACCATCCAGAATCCACAAAACAGCTATATCTTTACTGGCCAGCCAAAATCCACAAAATACATGATGCAAGCTTTCAGAGCTGTCTCCCAGAGCCTGCATGGCTAAGGAGAAGTAATGACCTCTGCCTACATGGATAGCCCTCCATACCATTTTAACTGACACAAATTATAACAACATAATGATAAAATTTGGCATATGACTCCAACATTGTCTTTTTGCTGTCTTTCTTCTGTTTTATTTTTAACACCTTTGCCTGATGAGAAAGCCTGATGAGCTTCAAAAGTGTGCATCATGTATTTTGTGCATTTTGGTTGGCCAATAAAGGTATAGCTGTTTTGTACATTTTGGTGATGGTGGTGGTGGTTGTGTGCTTTCTGACCTATGGCAACCCTAAGGTGAACCCATCACATGGCAAGATTTTTCAGAGTGGATTTGCCCTTGCTATCCTCCGTTGGGGGTACAACATTTTGGTTGTACCTCCAAGGCAAGTGTTTGTTTGTGTGTATTAGGAGGCAGCCAGATGAAGGAGGGGGTAATTTGGGAACAGAACCAAATATACCAGAACCAAAAAGCAAAACAGGACTCTGGGGCCTGGACTTCTATTCTTGGGAGATGTTAGATGGTATAGTACTGGTCATGCTGGCTAAGCGATTCTGGGTGTTGAAATTCTGGGTCTGAAAGCTTTATATTGGTAATAAAACCTAACAGAATATAAGCACAGCAAATCAGTAAGTATAATTTGAAAACAACCACCATCTGAATTTGTGTTGCTGTTATTTGTTGTGAAGTTGACTTTGACTTGTGGTAATGCTGTGATTGAGAGCCCTCCAAGTTACCCTGTCACCTTGCTCAGATCTTGCAAACTCAGGGCCATGCCTTCCTGATTTTCAATCCACCTGTAGAGTGATCTCCCTCTTTTCCTACTGCCTTCCACTTTATCAAGTATCATAATATTTTACAATGACTAATGCCATCTCATGCTATGTCCAAATGTTGACAGCCTCTGTTAAGTAATTTTTGTTTCTAGTGAGAGTTTAGGCTTAATTTGTTCTTGAGTAAATGTTGTAATTTCTCACTCCTTGTAGAAATTAAGCCTCCGCCCCTCCCCTCCGCCCGTTTTACCAGCTACAGAGACGGCAGTTGAAGAGGGCCTCTCCGGAGGCTATTTAGCCCACCCCTCCGCCCGTTTTACCAGCTACAGCGGCCTTCAGTTCCCTCTGTTTCCCGGAATGGATTGGAGAGCAGACCAACCATTCCAGAGAACCTCACTCTGCTCCTTTGCAATGCCAGGTTGGTTAAAAATAAAACTCACATCATCCATGATCTTCTTCTGGATAAGGATGCCAACCTGGCTTGCTTTACAGAGACCTGGCTGGGAGAGGATAGCGCTGTTACGTGGGCGCAGGCCCTCCCAGCTAGGTATTCTGTTAGTGAGCATGTGAGTGGGGGGGCAGAGTGACTCTGGTTCATAAGAATAATCTGACTTTGACCAGGATACCTGTCCAGAACACAGTCCACTTCAAGTGTATGACCATCCCGTTGTCTCTCCCTAACAGAGCTGACACAGCTGGTCTCTGAGCTGTTGCTGGAGTCGCCCAGGCTCTTAGTCTTGGGAGACCTCAACATTCTGCTCGAGACCAGCTTAACAGGCGCGGCTCGGGAGTTCATGGAAACCATGACTAACATGGGCCTTTCCCAATTGGTCATCGGGCCCACACATTGTGTAGGTCAGGGGTAGGCAACCTTTCCCCTTTAAGGGCCGAGGGACTTCAGCTCCCAGAATCCCAGGAGCTATTGGCTAACATGGGACTATTGGCCAACATGGCTGAGGCTTCTGGGAGCTGAAGTCCCTTGGCCCTTAAAGGGGAAAGGTTGCCTACCCCTGGTGTAGGTCATACCCTCGATGCGGTCTTTACTACGGAACAGGAATATCCGTGGACAGAGGTTATCAAGTCCATAGCCCTGTCATGGACGGATCATTTCCTGGTCAAGGCGGAGCTAAGAGCCTCTATCCATCCCTCTGGGGGTGGTGGACCTATTAGAATGGTCCACCCTCGAAGGCTAATGGAACCAATTGGATTCGAGAAAGCCTTGGAGGATTTAATGGTTGGTAATGCCAGTGATCCTGTCGAAGCTTTGGTTAACAC